AAAGATATGTATTTTATTTATAAATTAATTTATTCTTCCCCATATTATTTTTCTGCTCCAATTCCGTCACTTTAAAGGTGAAAAATTTCACCGGTTTGACGTGGCTGCGATCGAGTTCTGACCAAACTGATCGTTTTCGTACAAACTCGACCAATCTTACTTTTTAAGCGACTACTACGCGTGTGGGGAAAAATGTCCATTTAAAAATCGATCGTAGGCGGGTAATAAAAATTTCTAAAGGAGTTAATCAGTAGCGTAAACGCTACAATATACAGGGTGGTCAGATGAAAACGAAGTAGATGCATTATCAGGAACTGCGACAACATTTTTAAAAACCCAGAAACATGTCAATTTTATGTTAAAGGGAGACATATTCTTTCGCTATTTTTATCATTTTTATTGCCTTACCTTACCTTACAAGATGACAGCAGAACAACCCTTCTAGAAGAATCCTTATGTCACAACCTGTGGGAAATAGAAGTAGGGGTAGGCAAAAACTCAGATGGACGGATGGTGTAAAGATCAGGGTGGTAGAAAAAGATGGTTTTGGTATAATACCAAAACATAGTTTATAAGTAAAACAAGAACAAGCAGTTAATTTTAAAAAATTGTTAGAACAATATAACGGCTTAAACTGAAGGCTATTAAAGAGTAATATTTTAAACATGTTTTAGAACGAGACAATTTTGGAAAAAATCTACCTGCAGACAAGTTTATAAATAATTAGTTTACTTTCAACAATACTAATAAAATAAACAGGCTCCCCTGTTTTCTTGTTTATCTACACGATATAAATAAATATAACTAGACACAAAAACGAATACAAATATAGACCAATATATAAACGAAACACACATAAATACACATACTTGGGTCATGAAATTAGAATAACCAGAGACAACCAAACCTGTGAGCTAAATAGAACGAATCACGTTGGTGTGGGCGGCATATGGAAGGATGAGAGACATTTTTAAAACAATATACCCAATTCACCTGAAAAGGAACGCATTTAACCAATGCATCTTACCAGTCTTAACCTACGGAGCAGAGACCCCAACTTTAACGAAAGCTAACTGCCGAAAAAAACTGAGGGTAACACAAAGGCGAATGAGAGGTCAATGCTGGACCTGACCTTGAAAGATGGTCAGGGCGTGAGAAATAAGGAGGTACGCCGACGAACTGGCGTAGACGATATTTTACTGCGAATCAATAAACAAAAGTGGAGGTGGGCTGGAAATGTTGCTAGAATGGAGGACGGAAGATGGACGAAGAGATTATTGGAGTTTAGACCAAGAGCCAACAAGCGAAGTCGAGGCAGACCACCCACCCGATGGACCGACGACCTAAGGAGAATAGAAACAAACTGGATTGCAGCAGCTAGAGATGGAGAGAACTGGAGACGTTTGGAGGAGGCCTATATCCAACAATAGATGTGAAAATGGGGCTGGATGATAATACAAACGAAACAATATCTATTAACAGTGTTAGTAACACTGTTGGGAAAAAAATAAATAAGTTTAAAAACGAATTAATACAGAAAAATTAAGGAATGAAGGATAGATATTTCTTTTTAGCAAATGTTTCTAAAATTCTTTCTGGTGACTTTGTAGAAAATTTTAGTATTGATATTCGATTACTAAATAGTTTAAAATATGCTCCAATCACATTTGTTGATGTAGACAGCTCTTCTATTTAAAAGTATATTTACTTAGATGGACGACAGTAAAAAATATATTTAAATTATATTAATTATTTACTGTTTTGCAATAGCAGTGATATTATTAGTTGATAACATCAGTAATACACTCGTAAACTTGATAATTTGTACATTATTCAAATATTTTTGTATTAAAAAAATCCACAAGGAAAAATTCCTGTAGCTGGCTGTATACCACGTATAACAAAAAGTGGTTAATCTTTGTAAATGGGTATATTTATTTAAAAAACCCTTAAAAGGGCCACATCAATAAAACAAACGTTTTCGGACCACACAGTCCATCATCAGGTTTTTAAAATCGAAAAATGCTAGGTCACAATGCCTGAGCCACCAAAATACTAGGGCAAAAAACCTTTAAATTATATTTAGTTATGAAAGATTGTACATTGTGTTGTAAAATAACTGTGATGTTCAGTATTAAAATTAAATTTGACTAGAGGTAACACATGGCTAACCCGATTGAGCCGTAAGATAGATGACAGAGATAGATGATAGATGACGCCGTTACGTAAGATGGCGTCACTAGAAATGTTTAATTTTTATATTATATATATGACACTAGGCCCCAGGAGGTTAAAAAAATGTTTCCATATAATGATATAATGTTTGCATATTTTGGTAAAAATGCTTGCATAGGCACTTACTACATATTTCTTAATTTTTTTGTGCATTTTTTTTATCTTGAATAATAACCAAATTATAATAAACCTCAATGATATAGTACATTGGCATTGAATTGTTAAATACAAACAAATCCTTTTTTACTACAGATTTCCTGTATTCGTCTTATAGTAGCGGCTATTTAGAATGATATGTTCTGCTCATATCTCTTATCGCCTAAAATAAAACAATCTTTCATTAATAACAGTCCACTTCTAAACCCAATATAAACAATATTGTTATTGTCTGGAGATTAATTTGGTTGTATATTTATAAGTAAGGTTTGATATACTTGCAAATATTTTTTTATGACAGTATTCGTATTTTGATCGTTTAAGAAAACGTAGTCTTTTATTCAGTATTACAAGTTTATTATACATTTACTATTTTATTAAGTATTGACTTGAGAAAACATGTACGTGTATCAATCAGTTTTCAAAATATTAGTGAAAAACGTGGCAATGAATTTACCAAAACTACTACCCAAGGATAACATATACATCTTAAGATGTACACAGCAGCATCTGCAGAAATATAGACACTTACTACAATGGAAACCAAACGCGTCTATCATGGAGTGTGGATTTGGTACTGGCGAAAACTCAGTAAAAAGTTTGATTCCTCTTCTTCCACACGATTATAAAGAATTTGTTGGTTCTGATATATCCAAACATACGTTACAGACAGCCAAAAGAAATATTTATATTCCCAGATTTGCTACTGTGGAATTGGACATAATTACAAAACATATTCCTCGAGAGTTACAGAATAGGTTTGACCATATCTTTGGTTTCTTTGTTATTGATGTTCTTCACAATCCAAGGTAAGTTTTATTGTACATAGGTTATTTATTTAATGAAAAATAGAAGCTATGTAAGCTAAAGGAGTTGTAAGCACTGACAAGTGTCTTTACTTACTGTAGCATACAAAAGCAAGCTTTGGCAGCTAAAGAGATGCCAGATGAAGTAACCCATTAAGTAGTGAATTTTAAAATTGTAAAATTTGCTGTAGTTTTTATCTTTTTTTTCTATATTAGGGGTGTCCAAATATTCATCATTATCATCATCATCATTCGTGTCTATTCGCTGTGGGTTGGAGTCACGCTTTCACTAATTGTTTGATTTTCTTGAGTTTATTTTGTGATACACTCGACTTATTTTGTCACGCACTTAACACTTTATAATTTATTTCTGACTTGAAGTCATCTGAAGAAACCTCATTAATTAGAACTGAAAGTCCTGGCTGAAGGATGCTAAGCAGGCTAGTTCATCTGCTTCTTCGTTTCCTTGTATACCTGAATGTGATGGAACAAACATGAAGTCAACAGTGATCTTATTATTATTTAGAATCTCTATTTCTGTTTCGATATGTGAGGCAATTGGAATATTGGTATATAAACGTTTGATAGTGTGAAGTGAGCTAAGTGAATCGGTTATTATGGGACGGGGACTGTTTTTATGTGGATAAGTGCTTGTAATATTGCAAACAACTCTGCAGTGTATAACGAAGTAATGGGATTGAGTTTGAATTTTAAGGATCTATTGTGTGTAAGGCTGGCTGCACCAAGACTATCTGAAGATTTTGATGCGTCAGTGTATATCTTATATTGATTTTTATAAGTTTCCATTTCTGTTAAGAATGAATGAATGATGAGATAAAATTTGCTAGCTTTGCAATGGATGGCCAAAAAACCCATTCATTTTCTACTCAATTTTCACAAACCTGAAGAAAATGTCACTGTGAAGAGGAAAGAAAAGAATGGGACATCATTGTAAATTAACTGCAAACAAATAGTACCTACAAGATTACAACAAATAAATATGGGATAAGTAGATAAGTCTAATATGTTAGTATTTTGCTAGGAATTGTTGACCTAACATTACTAACCTCATATATAATTTTCAAACAATTAACAACTGGTTAGAGTATGTCTTTGAAAGAATTTAAAATTGCTGTGGCCGCCGGTTTGATTGGAGGAGACCCCCAAATGCCTAAATTTGGAAGAAGAAGCATGGACAAACCAAGCACCAGTAACAGTTTCAAAAAACAAGTTCCTTTAGAAATAAGAACTGACAAAGTAGCCCATATGGCTCAGCATGGAGCCAAAGTACGTTGTACACACTGCAGTACCAAGGCAACTCCTCATCGTACAAGATGGCACTATACTACATGTCAAGTAGGTTAATGTCTATCTAAAAAAAACAAAAAAATTGTTTTATTCCATTTCACACCAAATAAGTTTTTCGTTTGTAGCTTAGTGGTTTCACACGAAACCACCTTTTTTGTACTAATTACAAAAATATAATATAAAAAACCTTTGATTTCTCCATTTTTTGCCCCAATATGTCCTAAAAACAAATTATTTACCATTAAATATAAACAAAAAAAAAAGTCCGTCCCCAAATGGTTAAAACAGTAATGTTAACTTTTAACGCAAGCGATGTTTTGACTGGACTATAATATCATATCTAGCATATTATACTAATTATTTTAAAGTGCTGTTTCAAACCAGTTTTGTTAATTGCATTCCCAATTTTATTCACAGTATAAAACTCTTTGTAACAAATCAATACTTAAGTGACTAAATCAACCGAATAAAAAATAACCCATATCCGAAATAGAAATGCAATTACCAAAGCAGTGGTCTAGGAGTTGTGGAAGAGTTTTGGAAATAACGAACGAGCATCTTCAAAAGTACGCACATTTATTAAAGTGGAGAAACAATGCATCGATTTTAGAGTGTGGAATAGCTACGGGGGAAAATTCGGTAAAAAGCATTATTCCAATTCTTCCACAAGATTACAAGGAATTTGTTGCTACTGATAACTCAAAAAATATGCTGGAAGTTGCTAAGAACGTTATCAATATACCAAGATCTACCGTTTGTGAACTTGATGTTACCGCACGACATCCACCACTGAACATGGAAAATAGGTTCGATCATATTTTTGGATTTTTTCTTATTCATATGGTGGAAAATCCAAGGTAAGAATAGTTTTCGTGTTACTAAGAAATAACTTCTTTACTATTTTGATGGAAAAAAGTCCACCAGCCTGTCTTAATCCATTTTGGCACCTTAACGTGTCGTTGTGGATGCTGATTGTATGGTAAAGAAGTTACCTCTGGACATTTCGCAAAATATTACTTTTGGATTTTTTTAACAAACAAATTGTAATGCAAAAAATCTATTTGTGCAACCTAGTTATCAGACTATTTTGCATTATTTTGAATTTTGTTTAATCTATAAGTTGAATCATTTTAAAATCAACATGCATTTGTTAAAACACTGTCTTTGTCATTGTCCAAAGGAACAGCACCTACGTCTACCTTTGTACTGATTTATAGCCCTTTGCACATAATTTGTACCTTTGGAAGTGTATAAAATTAATTATAAGTATGTCTTATGGGTATAAAATGGGCGAAATCAACAAAAATATTGTTTATTACCAATATTATAACAATAATAATAATATATTATTTAATAAGTCTTCTTCTTCTTTTGATATAGACATAACTCTGTCTGTTTTTCAATGTGCCTCCAGTAAGTTGTCGTTTTCGAGGTCGTGATATTTTTATTTCTCCATATCGTTTTATTCAGGCAGCCTGCTGCTCTGTTTGCTCTATTCACTTGATCTTGCACTCCAGTTTTGAGCTATCCGTAGCTAGATAATGTGATGCCTAGATATTTGAATTCCACCACTTGTTCTCTCATTTGACCTTCCAGCTCCAATTTACATCTTCTACATTTAAACCCTGAGTCTCGGGAAACATCTTTCCTGATATGAACCAATAGTTCGACGCTGTATTGTCGACATATTCTTGGCTGAACTTATTGAGAGGTTTACTCATCCAGGTGCGCATTTTTTCTTGCTGAGTCAGGTGGTTTATGCGCATTTCTTGTTCCCTCAGTTTAAACGGCGTTGTATTATCTACTGCGCAAATTGCTTGATATAAAGTAGATGTCTCAGTCTGTACCTGAAAATAAGTTCTTTAATTAGCAATTTGTTTATCCAATTGCTCACCTACATCCATAAGTTCTCTTACCACTTAATACTGCGGCAATGTTGTTCTCTCTACTGCACTGCGTGGATGATGTTTTTGTGCCTTTGTGAGAAGTGTCCTTACTCTCCGCTGAAGACCCTCTATATCCGTTTTTGACCTCGTTATAATACCAAATCAGTAGCTCAGCGCGGAACAGGCGTACGTATTTTAATCCTTAAACAATTTTTTACTATTAAGATATTATTATTATTATCATTATCCAGATTTAGCCATACGGCTCACACTCCCTCTAAGAGGAAAATTTACTCATCCCAGATACCTACGGTATCAAAAGGATTGAGCTCTGGTGGGACTCTTTCCGTGTTATCGAGCCCTAGGTGACTTGGTATGCTGGAGTATCTCCCAAAAATTTTCGTACACATCGGGATGTGAGAGTAGTACAGCTTTTTGCATGGTCTTGTAGAGATGTTCATTCAGACCTAGCTTTTTATATTTTCTAGGAGGTTCTTTGGAATGACTCCAGTAGTAGAGAGAATAAAAGGTATTGTCTGAGTACTTTCCATTTTCCACTGTCTTCGTATTTGAACTTCCAAATCCCTGTACTTGGCGATTTTTTCGTTCTGTTTAACACGAAGATTATTGTTGTTGGGTATCGCCACATCAATTAATGTTGTTTGTCTCTTTAGTTTATTAACTAGTATGAGATCTGGTCTATTATGTGCCACTGTTTGGTCTGTGAGCATCGTGCGATCCCAGTATAGCTTGTAGTTGTCGTTCTCAAGTATACTCTCAGGAACATATGGATAATATGGAAGATGGTTTGTTTGAAGAAGTCCCAGTTTGATAGCTATCTCTTGATGAAGGATCTTTCCTATTGAGTTGTGCCGTTTCTTATATTCAGTTGCAGCAAATGCCTGACAGCCCCCGGTAAGATGTTGAATGGTTTCCTGAGCTTGGCATCCATATCGGCATATGTCATTTTGGATCTGATGATCTTTGACGATATATTTCAGGTAATTTTTGGTTGGTATAACCTGATCCTGAATGGCCAGTAGTGAACCTTCTGTTTCGGGGAACATCCTTCCTGATGTCAGCCAATAGTTCGACGCTATACTGTCGACATGGTCTTGACTGACCTCATTGGGATGTCGCCCGTGCAGAGGCTTGCCCATCCAGGTGCGCATTTTTTCGTTCTTAGTAAGGTTTATGCGCATTTCTGATTCCCTCAGTTTGATCGGTGTTGTGTCATCTACTGCACAAATCGCGCGATGAAGAGTAGATGTCTCCGCCTGCACCTGAAAATAAGTTCTTAAATTAGTAATCTGTTTTTCTAATTGCTCGCTTATATCCATAAGTCCTCGACCTCCTAAATACCGCGGGTAATGTCGTTCTTTCTACTGCACTTCGAGGATGGTGTTTTTGTGCCTTTGTGAGGTGTGTTCGTACTTTTCGCTGAAGATTTTCTATATCCGTTTTTATCCACTTAACAAAACCAAATGAGTAGCTAAGCGCGGAACATGCGTAGGTGTTTAGTGCCTTTTTAACACATTTTTACTGTTAAGGTGTGAACGAAGCAGCTGTTTTACCCTTCGTATAAACTAAGTTGTTATCTCAGTTTTTATTTGCTTATGGTCAATCTTCCGCGCTTGCTTTATTATTATTATTATTATTAATAATATTTGGTATTATCTGGGATATTAAAAAAAACTGATGTTATCAGATATTGGTGTAGACTTTTTGGTGGCACCTTATCAATAGTTTAGTTTTGTTATTGTAAATGACGTATTAAGAAAAATTAATTTCATGTTATTGACATATTGTTAATTATGTACTTTGATCAATTTAATTACAATTTAGTGTATAATTTTATTTCCATTAGGAAAATAACGTAAACTTGTGTAAACGATTCCGCCTAATAATGTTTAACACATTTAATCACATGTTATTTTATTAGGCACTTTAATTCTGACGTTACATATTAACCTGATATTTTAATAATTAACATTTTAGAAGCACTAGAAGTTAAGTACTAATTCATATGTGTTATTAAGGTAAAAATTGCATTAATCTTGAACTTATGAATAAAAAATACAGTGCAGATGTGTGTTTCGAGGTTGTTCCTTGCAAAAACATATACGAATTAATATAAGATAAATTAATTGGAATTAGGCAAAAAAATGTAATCCTCCATCAATCACTGATGTAATCTTCTAACGTGATAAACTCGTTCCAAGCTTTTTTAACAAATTGTTGACATTTTGTAGAACCGTTTGTCTTTGGCATCGAATTATGCATTTGCTTTCACAATAGTCTTATCATTTGATGAATTGGGTATTATTTTGGTAGATAGATAGATCTTTATTTAAATAGAAAAAACCTAATATACATACAATAAAAAGAAAGTACACTATACATTTTTGATATACTGTTTAAATATCATTTTAAAATTATTGAGACTGGTACATTTTTTTGCTGTACTGTACTGAGATGTTGGTAACTGATTACATTTAAGGAAGCTTTTAAAAAAGAGCGAATTCATCGTACTTTTGTACATAGTTCTAGGTACATATATGTCATCTAAACCTCAGGTATTATAAGAATAAATACTTTTGTTGAAAGAAATGAATTCTTAAAAATATTCAGGCGATAAGCCATTTACTTGCACATAAACTTGCATAAACAGCACCGTGACAATACTGGAGCAGTCACATCTTATCGCAGCTACACAAAAATCGCAGGTTCGCTCACCACTAATTGCTGGTTTGACTTACTATGTCAATAATGTAGATGGACAATGAACATAAGAAAAATAAGGTTATCTCTTTTTTTGTTTAAATTTATATGTAATCTTTGGAAACTATTAAAAAGTACACTCACTATTTTTGCTATTGTTAGAATTTTTTTATCAAATTTATGCGCAAAACGAACGTCCAATTTTGTCATATTTCGCCGCTACGCACTCTGGCATCGTTTTGACGTACTCCTACCATAGTTACGCACGGAGGAATAACCAAATTGGATATTTTTGAGATTATATTATATATATATTTATATATATATATAATATATATTAGATATATATATACAGGGATAGTCAACTATATGTTAGAAACAGGGGTTCTTAAAATTCCTACAGTCCTGGGATGGATATCTGAGAGAATCCCGTGGGAATCCCGAGAGCTATTTGTCAAGTGCATTAATATTGAATATTAATAGTTATTTAAAATTTACAGTGTTCTTTTTTTAGGCAAGCGTTTAGAAACTTCCACACGATGCTTAAACCAGGAGGTTCAGTCTTTCTAAATTTTTTTGAACGTATTCCAGTAGATGGAATGTTCCATAATTTAAGATCTCACCCAAAATGGGGAAAGTACCGTCAGGAAGATGCCATCTCAGTATATTATTATACCCAAAATCCGAAAGAGGAATATAGAAAAGATATAGAAGCAGCTGGGTTTAAAAACTATGTTTACAATGACGAAATTCACCAACACGTGTTTAAGTCGGAAGAGGAATGTAGAGGTAATTTTCTTCTTTGTGTAATGTGCTTGTTTTTAAGCGTTGTCCATTCATTGATCAACCCATTGTTTATAGCAACTGCCCAAATATCTAATTTTACCTTTCCAGAATTTTGTTATCTAATGTTAGTATGGGATCTCCTGCATGGACCGAATAACAAACATTGAGGTTCTACGTCGGATGGATGAAACATGAGAAATTATATCCACAGTGAAACAGCGCAAGCTAGAATATCTTGGACATATAATGCGAAACCATCATAGATATAACCTGCTGCAACTTATATTACAGGGAAAGATCTACGGAAAGAGGGGACCAGGAAGAAGAAGAATATCTTGGCTCCAGAACCTACGAAAATGGTTTTCCTTGATCACATCAGGACTATTTGGGGCTGCGGTCAATAAAGTTAGAATTGCCATACTATTAGCCAACATCCATAACGGATAGGCACCACAAGAAGAAGAATTTTAATATTGAGTCTTCGATATTAATTTTTTTGAACACCATCCATTTTGTTTTCTTTGCGTTGATTATTAAGCCCTTTTCAGTGCATTTGTTATTGCTAAGAGCCTCTTGAGTACCCATACCGTTTCGGAAACCAACCTGCTCATCACCAGTTATCCCCTTACAACGTTTATATATGCAACAGTGCAATACTTTCATAAAAATTTTGAGCGTGTGACTCATTAAACTGATAAGTCGTTAGTCGCTACACTGTCTGGCATCTCTTTTCTTTTTCTCTTTCAGAACATTGGACTGCTCCCTTCCTAATGCTGTGAGTAAGACAAAAATATTGAGCAAGCTGTATCTCAATTTGCTCTGCTCCATGAGAGCTCATTGAGAATAGACTATTATTACGTAAACATTAATTCCATAAATAATATAAAAGTAAATTATTAAATTGTTTCTTTCTAGATCTTCATACATCTGTAAATCCAATTGTGAATAACATACCCAAAGAAGAGTATGACGAATATATAGAGGATTACATAAAAGAAAAAGAAAATACTCCAATTTTTCACATAACTTACGAAAATGGAAAACGAACAATTTCAGCAGAATATAAGATGTTTGTGTTTCACGCAACCAAAAATGTTTAATCCTTACGTAAAATAAAATTGTTAAAATGTACTATTAGTATTCTCTTTTAATGGCAAATGATTCTATATAAAACCATATACGAGCCATAACAACTATATAATGGGACAAATTGAAAGGTGTTTGGCTGGTAATTTATTATTTTTTTATGAGTGTAACCTTGGACACCGTTTTTGCTATAAAGGTCACCAATGAAGACACTGCCGACGGCAGCCAGATGGTTGGTGGAGAGCGAGTCGTGGGTTCGAAACTAGTTTTTGGAACCGGGAATAAGTCCAACGGATAAAATAAGTAAAGATAGGACAAGATAAGATATATTAGAAAAGATACAGAAATTAACAAAACCATAAATGGGTAAAATTAGCAAAGATAACATAAGATAAAAACAGGGCGCCACTTAACTTTTTGGGGTTTGAGGAGATATGCACCATCAATTGATCAATGGTTGTATACATATAGAAATGAACAGTATTATAATTAGAAAATACCTTTACAGCTGAAATGAAATGGGGTTAAGTAAAAGAATTGAATAACAATAATTCCTCCTCCTCAGTCCTAATCCCTTTTGGGATGTGGTGACACCATCAGGTCTTCACCGTTTTTTTAGGATTTCCCTCCATCCTTCTCTGTCCAGGGCTAGTTGTTTGGCTTCATGTAATCCTTGGTTAATCAATGTTTTTGTTTGATCTACTCAACGGCTTGGAGATCCTCCCCTAGGTCTTTTTCCTTTAACTCTACCCTCGACTATCAGTTTTTCCATCGTGCCTATTCTTCTAGCAATGTGTCCAAAATACTGCAAATATCTTTGTTACAATTATTATTATGCAAAAATTATTACAAATAACAAAATTGATTCAATTTAAAGTTAACGCATACAAAAGATTACAGGAATAAAAATTTAACCCCCCCACACTTGGTTAAGTTAATTATCTGTTTACACTGTTATTTAATGATTAACGGAGAATTAGATGTTCGTAATTATGATTTATTAGAAGTTCTTAAAGTTGATAAAAAGTTCGTAAGAAAATATTAAATGTTCTTTTAGTTTAATTGTTATATCGGTAGTTAACCCTAACTACAGGTGATGAGATAGTCAACGTATATTCGCCTAGATAATTGAAGATAATGATTATGACAACTTACAGTAAATCTTGATGACTGCTGCACTAATTGACTCAAGCTAATATACTTTACTTGTATTAAGCACTGAATTTATTTGGATTAAAAGGTACTTTATAACTATATTTAATCTAATCTAGTATTAGATTTAGAAACTCAAACTATATAACTATACACACTAAAAAAATGCACAGAGAAGGTAACACAGAAACGGTAATATGAGCGAGCGTCTGTCCTCAAAGATCGCCCCACTAGAAGTAATCGCTTCCTATAAAATTTTACCAAACTACCCAAGAAAGGTGGGATATCTCCCCCTCAAAAACGACAGATTAGCCTGTAGGTATTTCTAAGAAGACAAAAAGATTCTAATGTTTCGAGGTAAACAACGGCACCAGCAATTGGAACGTAAGGAAAATAAAATCTTTTAGATTAGGTTTTACAGAAAATTACTCTATGAACGTGCCTTCGACGATATGGTTTGCCAAAGTATCAAACAAAAACCCGCCTTAAAGCCGGAAGGAATAATTAACGTGGATTACCTAAACCGTCTTTAATAAATCGGTTCTGTCTTCCTTAATATTTCGATAGCTTTCAATAAAATTTAACAAATTTGCGAATACGACCATGGGTGTATCAGCAACGGAGGTAAAAAGGATTAAAAATAATTTAATATATTTACTAAAAAAAAAAATATTACAATAATTATAACAATAATTCTAAAAACAGCAATATTCTAATGATATAATCATAGAAGGTAATTATTATTGTTTTATACAACTCATATAACCTATCAATGTCATAATTATCTTCAAAATATATGTAAAAAATTAGTGACATTTTAATAATGTGACAGCATAAAGTAACTCCTTAAAACCACACAAGACACGATATATTTGTATTGGAATTTATTACTATTATATATCCAAAAAGGAAATTAAATAAGCATGTGATTCGTTAATTTATCCTGAAATGAATCATAAAATTATATATGTGCCCTTGAAAAAAAAATTCGTTGATAATAAAGCTAGAATTTAATATTTAACAGTGGATCAACATCTGAAATAGCCAAATATTGATTTGTTTATATTAGTAAGGTAAAATTTAAATAATTTTGAGATTATGAATAAAAAATAAATGAAGATGTAAATTTTTGTTTTAGCCTTAGAAATTATATTTGCACCTAAATTCTTTTTTATAATTGCACAAATGAATGATTTTTGTCTACTAGGATCTTTCAGCTGCCAATAATCTTTAAATACCTTTTCTCTTTGCATTTAACATATTTTTTGGGAGCATTTAAAACGGCATTTAGAGCAATCAACAGCTTCAACTTTTTTTCAGACATTATTTTTCCAGAACAGTTTACATATGTACTACTGGCACACGTTTTTTATTTCTCACATTTTTGGTCTAAGTGGAGGAATCTGCAATTCTCTTTCGTTTTCTTGTTAAACCTGGATTAATTTCTCCAGTTACAGAATGTTGAAGATCGATAGATAAGCTGGATGGAATTGCATCATTATTCGACTCTCTACAAAACACTTCCACAGTTTGCGTCAGGTGCCACTGTATTGTTAGACAGCTCTAGATTAAAATTCTCTTGAACAACTTCTCCTAAATTACTATTTTCATCACCAGACAGCTCTGAAAAGTTTGGTACGTATGATTCACCAGAATCAGAAAAATCACTATGTTGGATTAAATCATCTACCATTCCCCTGCTCGGTTTGAACCAGTCATGGGTTTCGCTTTCTTTTACCGGAGAATGTAAATTATGCGATCGGGTAGATGGAATCATGTCATTTTTTGATTCTGTAGTACAAATACTCTTACCTAGTCGTAGCAGATGTGATGATGTCATCATTACTATATATTACTGGATTTAAGGTCTGGTAGATAGCCTTTTCCACATTTATATTTTCTTCAATCTAAGTACCAAGCTCAGGATTGAGTTCGTCAGCTAAAACAAGAAAAAAATGTATTTAGAAAACGAATATTAAGTATATTAATTAAAAATTTTTGGTTGATTTTTAACACTTTGTTCATTACTGGACATATTCCTCCCTCTTATCCTCCCTGCTACCTGCTCGCCTGTTCCTGCTCACAATTTTGATGGACTTGTATAGTTGTCAACTCTCTAGGTCGTTCATTTTCACTAAAATATTCGTTACTCAGTGCTAATTGCAACAGTTTATAACTTCTAGGTCGTTTTCCATTAGGGTTGTCAATAAAACATAAACAATAAATTCACTTGACACCAAAAAAGAAAACTTTACCAACTATAACCTCAAAAACGCACACCACACAAGCTGCTAATGTTGCAGCTGACTTGTTGATAGTGACATATTATTTTGTGCACATTTATTTCTTTTTTTATTGCTAAGAGCACAGATATTATATGTATTAACATGCAACAATTGTTCCCTTTATAATACATTTTTGAGCTTAATTCACAGTTTTGAAATGTCATTTATACCACACCAAACTGCTTTAGGACATGCAATGTTTGTGTAGGATGATAGATTCTTAGTAGGACATCAGGGTACGTGCATAACTCAATAATAGAAAAAAATGGAATACAATAAGTGTGCTTTAAGCCATCGTTATTGAAGCAACCATTTTGACCGACCGATTTGAAGGAGAAATCGTCCTGTTGCCACTTATCTCAGAGATACCCTCATATATCACAATATCATTCAAAAGGGTTTAATTCCCTATTGGATAAGCATTCGCGATGACCATTAAAAATCCTCAAGGCTAGATCACATTTATTTATATTAGCAAAAAACAAATTAACGATAAAAATTGTGCACCATTTAGCGGTCAATTGAATGATAATTAATAGGTATAATTTAAAATAGTATAATTATTTCTCCTTGGCTTCTTTTGTGCACCAATTAGCGGTTAATTGAATGTTAATTATTAGGTATAATTTAAAAGAATATAATTATTTGGAGTAAAAATCAAACTTTTCATACCTCCTCAATGAGACCTAAATTCATTTAAAAGTTAGCATTAACAAATTTTATATATAAACAAAAATCAAAATTTTTTTGACTCTAACCTCTACAGCCCTTAGGTATAGATTTTATGATATTTACTTAACTCTGTTAATTCTATAGAAAGTGCGAAACAACCATCGGAGACGATCAGTTTGGATTCAGAGCCGGCATGGGAACGAGAGAAGCCCTGTTCAGTTTACTAGTTCTCGCCCAAAAATGCTACGACCAACAGAAAGATATATTTATATGCTTTATAGACTTTGAAAAGCATTTGATAGAGTAAGACACAACCTACTATTAGAACGTTTGCAAGAAGTCGGTTTTAGATGGAAAAGAGATCAAATTCTTAAAAAACTTGTACTGGAACCAAAACGCCAGAGTTAGGATCGAAGGGGCCACATTCGCAGAAGTAGAAATTAGGAGGGGAGTTAGACAAGGATGTGTTCTGTCGCCTCTGCGTTTAATCTCAACTCCGAGTTTCTATTTAAATAAGCATTGGATGGTTCCAAGGATGGAGTCAATACGCCGATGATACAGTGTTAATTGCGGATTCCGACTCAGGTCTACAACGACTCATCAACCAACTCGACCTGTGAGCAATTTGGTACGAAAATAAACATTAAAAAAACCAAAGTCAATCCGAAAAAACCAAAACGTACCTCAACCTTGCAAAATAAATGGGCACATCTTAGAACAGGTCAATAGATTTAAGTACCTGGGATGTTGGATCGATAGCAGCCTAAATCCTGATCAAGAAATAAGATCGAGAATAGAACAGGCCAGAAAATCTTTCGAAAAAATAAAAAAACTGCTTTGTGATTCTCGAATAAAACTCGAAATTTGACTACGTTTATCAAAATGCTACATCTGGTCGACTCTTATATATGCAGTTCAAACGTGGACCCTTAAAACATCAACCGTAAATAAATTGGAGGCCTTTGAAATGTGGATCTACCGGAGAATACTCAAAATTTCATGGACATCGCATACCTCAAAGAAGAAGTGCTGCATAGAATAGGCAAGGAAAGAGAACTTTTTAACACAGTAAAAGTTAGAAAAACATCATACCTAGGCCACATACTGAGAAATAATAAGTACCAATATGCCCAACTTATAGTGAAAGGAAAAATCGAGGGAAAGAGAGGCCTAGGAAGGAAAAGACTATCGTGGCTCAGAAACATCCGACAATGGACAGTGCTAAATTTTGAACAGCTAATAAGAACAGCTGAAGATAGAGAAGAGTTTAAAATTGTAGTAGCCAACCTCCATTGAGGAGAGGGCACTTTAAGAAGAAGAAGTTAATTAAATTAAACATAATATTAGTAGTGTTGCCCAAATACAAGAACAAGACGAGACTTAGACAGTCTTGGTCTTGGTCTTGCGCCAATACACCTTGTCTTGGTATTGGTCTTGGTATTGCACTTTTGGTTTTGTTCTTGGTCTTGGTCTTGCACCAAGAGTCTTGAAAGTCTTGCAGTTACCCATTAGCCTATTGCTATTTATTAAACGTTACTTGAGATCATAGAACAACGTATCAGGGTAAGCACATTTGAAGCTTAAATTAACATAGCCATAATAAAGACCAACTAAATTAATAAATGAATTAAATAAATGAAGGAACAATACGAGACTTAGACAGTCTAGGTCTTGGTCTTGCGATAATTCAACTTGTCTTTGGTATTGGTATTGCACTTTTGGTTTTGTTCTTGGTGTTGGTCTTGCACCAAGAGTCTTCAAAGTCTTGCAGTTACCCATTAGCCTATTGTATTTATTAAACGTTATTTGAGATCATAGAACAACGTATCAGAGTAAGCACATTTGAAGCTTGAATTAACATAGCCATAATAAAGACCAACTAAATTAATAAATGAACTTTGATAATATACAAGGCAAATATCGGGCACAGTATTAATTTAATCTTGCCCAAGTACTTTCGACCACTAGATCATCTTCAGGGGCATTTTGTCAATTGCGACCAATCCGACAAGAGTAGAATGTCATAAATATAAAATGGGACTACAATACACTACACAAAGACAAACACTTTAAAATTTTTTTGAAGATAGGCGAAGCTACATGGTGTATAGAAGCCGGAGACAGAAATGTCATTCTGTTACAAGAGTTAAAAAAATAGGCGAGAATACATGCGTAATAGAACTAAGAAAAATAGAAGAAAAGCACGAGATCATGGAAAAAATATAACCTAAAAAACGTCGTAGGGGAGAAAGTATTCATCAATGATGACTTGACTAGGAAAAAGAAAGAAAGGCAGAAACACCTAAAAAAATTTGCAAAAAAACGAAAAAGAGAAAGGCAAAGACGTCAAAATTGGTTGCAATAAGGTGTTAATAAACCAAGAAGAATGGAGATGGAACAAAATAAAAAAAAGAAACTGAAAAAAACATCCAAGAAACTAGAAAACTACACCCACAAGAGGAATATTATATACCGCAGATATACCGCAGAAAAAAGGAAAGACAAAAATGGGAACATGGAACGTAAGAAGTATCAATGGAAAAGAGGTAGAACTTGTAGAAGAAATGATCAGACAAAAAATAGAAATATTAGAAATAACGGAAAGGAAAATAAAAGGATGAGGTTTTAAGAAGATACACAAAGTATACTGGTTATTTTGAGTAGGAGCTGATGCAAAGGAGAGAGCAAAAGAAGGCGTAGGGATAATAATTGCACCGAATAGACTACAATACGTTATGGAAGAAACATATGTTAACCAGAGAATATTATCGCTGAAAATGAAACTGATAGACAAGAAAATATGGACAATAATGACAGCCTATGGAGTAAATGAAAGATGCAAAAAAGGAAAAGAAGGATAAATTTTTCGAGGAGCTCCAAATGCAAATTGACAATGGGGAAGAAAATATAATTGTAATGGGAGATCTAAACGGTAGAGTCAAAAATAATAAAAATGGAATTGACGAATGCATGGGAGAAGAAGGAAAAGAAATACTAAACAAAAATGGTGAAAGAATAATAGGAAAATATGTATGGAGAATAAACTTGTTATAACAAATACAAAATTTAAACATAAAAAAGTACACAAATACACGAGAGTACAAGAAAGCCGAAATGAAAAAATCAATCATAGATTACTTTTTGGTAAGTAGTAACAAATGGACAAGAGTAAAAGACACGAAAGTGAAAAGAGGCTCAGAGATTGGCAGTAATTATCATCTAGTAATAATGAGAATGAGAACAGCAGAAGAAAAGGAAGAAAAGAGGAGAAAGGTAGTAAATGAAAAAGTAAAAAGCCACAAATTAAAAGAAGAAAGATATTAGAAGATATTCCAAGAAAAATTAGACAATATTTTGAAAGGTAGGGCAAAAACTGCAAGTATAGAAGAAAAGTGGAAAAATCTCAAGACCAACTTAATCATAGCTGCTGAGGAAACTTGCGGGAAGACCAAAATAGCAAATACTAGCATGAGGAGAACTAAATGGTGGACGGACGAAATAGGAAGGAAAATAAATAACAAAAAAAATGGAAGAGATCTAAGTACAAAGTGCCCTGAAGACTATGAGGCATATAAATAAAAAAAGGAAGAGGTTACAAATAGCTGTGAAAGCTAAAAGAGGTCATGGGAAAAGTTTGGACTAAAAATGACAAATAATTATAGCGAAAATCAAAAACTCTTCTATGGCGCATTAAAACAGCTGAGACAAAAGAAAGAACACATGATGCCGAATGTAAAAGACAAGAATAAAAAGGTAATAATGAAAGAAAACCAAATATTGGAAAGATGGAGAGTAATTTTCTTTAACAACTAATTAAATATTGGTCTGTTTTACACATTTGACAGTCATTTGACATAAAAAGATTGGTACATTTTATTTTATAAACAAATGTCAATAATTTATTAGATGACCCTGTCGCACTAATGTAATTTTTTTTACAAAAGCGCTATTTTGACTGGACTAGTGCAGATCTACACATATATCAACCAATTATTTTAAAATTTTTTCTTCGGCGCACCTTTGTTAATTAAATTTTTAATTGCGTTAGGAATATAAAACTTCGCATTGTAAACCATATATCAATCAATTAATTGTATCGAAGTGAACCACATATAGAATACACTATATCTAAAATAAAAATGCATTTACCGAAACAGTGGTCTAGGAGTAGTAAAAGAATTTTGGAAATTACAAATGAGCATCTTCAAAAGTACGCGTATTTATTAAAGTGGAGAAACAATGCATCGATTTTAGAATGTGGAATTGCTACAGGGGAAAACTCACTAAAAAGTATTGTTCCTATTCTTCCACAAGATTACAAGGAATTTGTTGCTACTGATAAATCAAAAATAATGCTTGAGTATGCTAAGAACGTTATCAATATACCAAGATCTACTGTTTGTGAATTTGATGTAAACGTGAGACATCCACCTCTAAACATGGAGAATAGATTTGATCATATTTTTGGATTTTTCCTTATTCATATGACCGATAATCCAAGGTAAGAGTGTATTTAGCTGTTACTGGAAAATTAATTTTTCATTATTTAACAGGTTTGAATATTATTTATTAAGCTCAACAGGCCTTGAAGGCCTAGGGCTGAAAGATTTATTTTTCCTTACAATTACTATTACATTTTACAAAGCTTTTTTTTTCAAATCATGAATGTGTTGCTTGTGTGAGTCCATTTCAAATAGGTAAAGAAATAATAAATAAGACTTACTCACAATCAATTTAATTTAACTATCAGACGACCGGTTGAATGGTATAATATACCATTCAACAATATAAAGTAGTTTCAACCATGTTCTACCATCCATCTATTAATAGAGTACCGGCATGTAAGTAATGTTTATTTTATTTATTTATTTGCTCATTTATTAATTTATTACAATCGAAGAGACTATTTTATAACAATTTGTGGGCCTTACCTTGTCTGTTTAACGTTTTTAAAAATTTTATACCTTTTATTCAACTTACTCATTTAAATAAAACCACAGACATGTAATATTGGCATAATTATTGCAATTTACAACACCTACTTTGTTTATCGTTATTAGACAATACCCTAATATGGGTTTTTATTATTTCAGCATTTGTTTAACTTTGTATCGAGACCTGAGGATGCTTTGCATATTGTAGAAAGCGAAACCGGTCGTCTGATAGTTAAATTAAATTGATTGTGAGTAAGTCTTATTTATTATTTCTTTGCCTACTTTTTTTTCCAGTTTACAATATTACTTTTTTTAAGTCTTCATATACGCTGTCCTTTTATCTCCTTCTTGGTCTTCTTACTCTTCTTTTTTGTATTGGTTTACATAATAGAACCATTTTTGGCATTCTCGCCTTTCCCATTCTTTCAATTGGGATGTGTCCTAAGTATAGGATTCTTTGTGCTTTAATTGCCGTCGCTATTTTTGGTTCATTATATTTCAAGTTCCTTATTATTTCTTCTTCACCATTGTCCATCTATTTTCACGCCTCCATATATTGCTCATTGTATTTTCCTCTCCCATCTTTCTAAAACGTCTATTTCTGATTTTTTAAGCATCCATGTTTCACATGCATATGTAGCTGCAGTCTGATAACTGTTTTGTAGGTGTTCTTATTTTTGTTTTTCTTGAGACATATTTGGTAAGTAAATTCTGAAACTCTTTTAAAGGCGCATGAACTTTCTCCTTCTGCCTCCAATGTGACAATGTCTTCTTTTTCTTTATCTGTTTCTCCCATTCTCATGTATTTTGTCGTTTCCTTATTTATAAGAAAACCATTATTTATACCAAAAATTTTTGCTTCTTTTATTGTATTGCTTATTAAATTTTTTAGCACTCTCTTACTTGTTGTTAATAGTGTTAGATATCTGCGAATGCTATACATTGATGGCCATTTGTTAAAATCGTTTCCTGTGTGTTTATTTTACTTTTTCTAATTATTCCATGCTATTTCGTTTTTAAATTGTGGTCTATCTTTCCTTACGAGTTTCTTAAAATATTGGTCCCAGTCATCTGTTGTTATTGTTGACACTAGGTCTCTCTTCTTATCTAGTCGTAAAGATTTTAAGACTCTCCAACTTTCTGTGCTTCTTCGTCCTCCTAGATGTGAATTTATCATGTTACACTTTTGTTGCCATGCTTCATTTTTCTTCCGACATGTCATTTTTCGTACTTTAGCTTGATACTCCTTGTAGATTATTTTATCTGTTATATTCTTTGTATTTCAGAATTTTTTATATTGGTCTCTTTTCTTCTTCATTTCTTGTTCTATTTCTTCGTCAAACCAATATGAAACTTTTTTTATTCTTGATTTGGTATTAAATGGCTTCTGTTGCTCTCGTATTTTGCGTCCATGTGTATTTGTGTATGTCTCTGTGTTGAATAAATCCATTTGCAATTTTCATTTCATTTTGTTCTCATAATGATATTAATCTGGTACCATTATCTGGTAAATTATCTTATAAATTATACTATTTTATAAAACTACCATCATCAGTCTCATCAACAGTATCAACACAATACTGATCTTTGAATTCCTAGTGGGTCGTAATCTCCTTATTTTTTTTTCTCTGGCCTTCTTGATATGAGTCTTTCTTTTCTTCCTGCTAAATGAATTTTGGATTTTTTTTCTAAGATACTTCCCATCATAATTACATAAATGGCTCACTCAGGCGTCCTATTTGGATTTGTTTGATGATACTGACTTCAAAACATCCATAAACTATCTTCTTATTTTCAGGCAAGCGTTTAGAAACTTTCACACGATGCTTAAACCAGGAGGTTCAATCTTTCTGAATTTTTATGAACGCCTGCCAGTAGATATAATGTTTCATAATTTAAGATCTCATCCAAAATGGGGCAAATACCATCAGGAAGATGCTATTTCAGTTTATTATTATACAGAAAATCCGAAAGAGGAATACAGAAAAGATATAGAAGCAGCTGGATTTAAGAACTACGTTTACAATAACGAAATTAATCGTCATGTATTTAATTCTGAAGAAGAATTTAAAGGTAACGTATAAGCAATAATAGATAATTAGTATTACTACGCATTAGTCAAGTTCGTCTCTTTTCCATGATAGAGAAGAAACATCTTCAAAAAACACCATACACAACTATATTATCTTATCAATGGTTATGTAGAATTTCTACAATATCTTTCTAGCATTACTACTTATAAGCTAATATTTAATATTAATTAGGATTAATGTTTCAAATTAAACAAATATATATTTATTGTTTATATTGTTTACGATTCTTAATGTAAAGTTTCTCGAATATTAAGACGATGTTTTGGCTTCATAAGCAATATGGTGAATAATCCACTTAATATTCCACACTTAGATTTCGTCAAGTAATGGTGCGTTGTTATACTCCCTTAATTAAATTTTATCGTAAACATCAATTCGATAATACGTATAAAAATAATTATTAAATTATTAATACTGTTTCTTTCTAGATCTTTATACATCTGTAAATCCAATTCTGCATTACATGCCCAAAGACGAATATGATGAATATATTGAAGATTACATACAATATACTCCAAATTTTTCTATAACTTACGAAGATGGAAAACGAATAATTTCAACCGATTATAAGATGTTTGTGTTTCACGCAACCAAACCTATTTAATCTAGAAGTAAAATTAAAAGAGTCGATTTTTTATTATTGTTTTTCTTTCCTTATTCATTAAGTAATCCAAGAATAAACGAGGATAGATGAAATAGAGGAAGTCAAGGTATTCCAAATCTTTGAGACAAGATTATATATAATATTATATATTATACAAAAACTAATTTCAATCATTTTGTAATCACATCCCATCAGTTGCTGACCGATTAAGATTATTGGATTTTCAAATCCCTTCTATTAAGCGCTGTGTGGATGACCTTATTTAAGCATTACCACAGGACATAACATAAGCCACCCTGTCACCACACCTATTGGAGTGGTACAGATTTTTAGTATCACCAGTGTGCCCATTTTTATTAAAATGGAACACATATTTATTCACCTTACACAATAAAATGACTTTTAATGATCCACAAAGCACATATTCATAGGTACTTGAAATTCTCTAGACTTTTCAATGAGTTGTCTCAGGTTCAGGATTTGTTCCCATGTAGCTTTACCCTTTACAAACTTCCCTTGTTCCTGAGGTATTTAGTAATGTATGTAGGTTTTTAATCTGTTTGTAATAATATGCAACAAGATTTTACTAGCATGTTTTATTAGTGACAGTGTGCGGTAGTTTTCACATCCGGTAGTAGTTTTTTGTAGAGCGGGATATAAATTGAGGATTAGGTACACAATGGGTGTAATTCCAAACACAGATACAGATAGAATGGATGAGATTTAATCCTTTGTTACCTAGTAACTGTAGTATTTCACCTGTTATTAAATCAATGCCTGGGGATTTATTTCTCTTTAGCGATTTAATTGCATCTTTGACTTAAGCGAGTAAGATAATAGGTTCTCTAGGATAGTCAGAGGGCCACTGATTTTCTGCTGGTACCTCGTTATTTTTATATAGCTCGCCACAGTAGTTTCACCATGTTTCCAATATTTCGTCAGTTTCGGTCTTTAGGTTATCTTCCCTATCTATTACAGACCACGTTTAAGATTTAAATTATCTCTCTGGTAAGGAGTTTGATCTTCTGAAATAAATCCCTCGGTTCATTTTGATAGCCACGTTCCTGTATCTCTCTGCATATTTGAAAAATGTAATCAGCTTTGTCTTTACGGCACTGTTTTCCAATTTCTTTCGATTTATAAGTATACAGGATATTAAATCTAAAAGATACAGGATTTCGGAGGTTTTAAATATTTTAAAATAATTGCGCATACCAAAATCCCATATCCTAAAGTTCGATATATTAATTATGTCAAGTTTCTTTAAAACTTTCAAAACTATTTATAGCTTCCAAATAATCACCCGGTATTTCTCAAATGAGTTTTGTTGATTTAGTCGTCAATTGGTTATTACTACAGAATAATTTTTTTAAAACACACTGTCTTTTTTTGGTTTATTTTTAGTTAAGTATGTCTTTAATATATACCGTTTTATCCAGTAGATAATTATGTTATTAATATTAATATTGTGAATTAATATGGCGTAAACAAATAATAGTCCATGAAAGAAAACAATAAACTAGGTCTTACAATTGATTTTCCGCAAAGTAAAATGAATTTTAATGCCGTTTTGGTCATTCTATTCATGCATTTGCCATCTATATAAAAGTACGATGAATTCGCTCTTTTTTAAAAGCTTCGTTAAATTTAATCAGTTACCAATATTTGTAAAAAAATGTACTAGTCTCAATAACTTCAAACTGTTACCTAAACAATATATCAAAAATGTATAGTGTATAATTCTTTATATTGTATGTACATTAGGGTTTCTATTTGAATAAAGATCTATCTATCTATTACAGTAATTTTTCTATCGTTAAAGAGTTATGCAAAAATTCCTGCTCCTCCTCGGGACTTTATTAGGATTTGGTAAGGTTATGATATTCGATATACAGTTGCAATCCATTCTCCTATCTCCTGTGCGTATTTGGTTCCCTAGTATTGGTCTGACGTTCGAAGTGGGGAACTGCCTTGAATTTTTTTTGCCATCTACTTTTTTCAACTAGGAGTTAATGTGTTAAATCTTCAAAAGTAGTTTATGTGTAAAAATTACATTTTTACAAATACAGCGCTATTTTTACTGGACTAAAACAAATGCATGCATACTATTTATTTTATTATATTTTTCCGACACGCCTTGGTTAAATTAAATTTCGCATTTTATTTACGATGTAAAACTCCATATTTAGTCAATACTTATTAACTTAGTAAACCAAATATAGAATACACTATATCCAAAAGAGAAATGCATTTACCGAAACAATGGTCTAAGAGTAGTGGAAGAATTTTGGAAATTACCAACGAACATCTTCAAAAGTACGCATATTTATTAAAATGGAGAAACAATGCATCGATTTTAGAATGTGGAATCGCCTCAGGAGAAAATTCACTAAAAAGTATTGTTCCAATTCTTCCCCAGGATTACAAGGAATTTGTTGCTACTGATAAATCACAAATTATGGTCGAGTATGCTAGAAATATTATCAAAATACCAAGATCTACTGTTTGTGAACTTGATGTAAACGTAAGACATCCACCAAAAAATATGGAAAGTAGATTTGATCATATTTTTGGATTTTTCCTTATTCATATGACCGATAATCCAAGGTAAGGGTGTGTTCTGATATAGGGTGTGCAAAATTTCTGGTTTTCTTGTGTTTCGGCTAAATGATAAAGCGTTTACAAAAATATTTAGAATAAAACTAGATGTATATCAAAGACGTCTTTAATTTAACAATATTTTCAATTATACAGTCAGTATACGAGTCAGTCAGAACAATACTCTGAATAAAAACAATACAGTATAATGTAGATTCCAGTCCTACTTTCACAGATGCCACTTGATTCATATACAGGTTCTTTATGATTTTAAGATCATTCTCATCTATCGGAACGATCCTGGAGCAATCTTACTAATTCTGAATGATTAACACAATCAAATGCTTTCTAGTAATCTATAAAGCATGCTGATCTCTGCATTTCTAAAGTAGGACAGTTAAGCTATAAAGTGCTTCTCTTGTGCCAAATCCTTGTCTGAAACCGAACTGTGTTGGGCTAATGTCTCTTTCACATATGTGATATATTCTTGTGTAAATTATCTTTATTGCTGACTCAATAAGCTGATCATTTGGAATTGGTCGCAACTATTAGAGTTTGGCTTTTTGGGAAGTGGTATAAAGGTTGATTGAAGCAATCCTGTGGTATTTGACCGGACCTATAAATGTCATTAGAAAGATCTATCAAGGAGTCTATATTATCTTCACTCAACATTGTTTGAACCTCTATGTATATGTCGTCTGGGCCTGGTACTTTTCCCCATTTGCTCTTTTTGATTGCCATTACAACTTCTGACTTCAACATTTTGAGAAAGGGTTCACTTTTATATTCACTTTTAGAGTTTCTTCTAGTGTTGTCTGAGTATAGTTGATTTGTGTAGTTTCTCCAATGTTGAAGTAGATCCTTGGAATCAGTAATTTATGTATTGTCCTTCACAATACTATTAAAACTGCAAGGTTTTTTATGACCTGTCACTTCTATTTTATGTATGTTAAAGTGGTCATGTTTTTCTTCCAATTCCTCCATTTCTGCACAACTGTCTAGCAGCCACAGTTCTTTAGCTTTGCGACACTCTTTTCGTATTTGTCGGTTAATCTGCTAATTTTGCTTTGGTTGACGTTATTGCAAATAATAAGAGCTTTCATCAGTAAAGTACCAGCAATCATCTCAAATGCCACTTTTTCATACCATTTGACAGATTTTCGTACAAAATTACAGAGTACAGAGCAAACTCCAAAATCTCTAATGTTTTCAGAGCAACAACTACTATTTCCACAGTTTTTAAAGTATTCCCAGTCTTACTCTTTATTTCGTGCTCATCCATCTTGCAGGTATCTTCTTTCTATTGCCCTTATCTCTAAATTATCTTACTACAAACTATGGTGAAGCAGTACCCAAAAAGATAAGAGATACTAATGTGTATGTATGTCTGTGTGTGTTTCTTTATATTGCTTTAATGTCAAATATTAATGGATGTCAAGAAATGATTGTCTTCTTTTTTACAGGCAAGCGTTTAGAAACTTCCACACGATGCTTAAACCAGGAGGTTCAGTATTTCTTAATTTTTTTGAACGTATTCCAGTAGATGGAATGTTCCACAATTTAAGATCTCACCCAAAATGGGGAAAGTACCGTCAGGAAGATGCCATCTCAGTATATTATTATACTCAAAATCCGAAAGAGGAATATAGAAAAGACATAGAAGCAGCTGGATTTAAAAACTATGTTTACAATAACGAAATTCAATGTCACGTGTTGGAGTCCGAAGAAGAATGTCGAGGTAACATGTAAATAATTAATCATAAGTAGCACGCATTAGTTATAATATTTTAGAAGGTGGAAAATTATTTTAATAGATATCATGCAACTCCGATGAATAGTTGTGGATCTTCTTTTACTTTAATAAAAACCACCAGAAAGGTGAAGTTGCTTACGCTAATTTTTCTTCCAATCACAATTTTCTTTCTGCATAATACCGCTATCTTCGTCCAATACTATTCTCTCGATTATATGATAAGTTCCAGTACTTCTTTTTTTACTTAGATCATTAACTGTGATCCTATTGTCTAAGTTATCTTTCTCTTTCCCATTTTCTTCTTCTTCAAGTTCCATCTTGTATCGAAGATTGAAAATCATCAATGTTACCTGGATCTTGTTTACCGCCACTATAAATGGTTCAGAACTAATGCAATTAAATCATTCCTTCTGGTTATTCTTCTCTTTTCATTCTTCTTTTTATGTAGACATGACTATCCGCTTTTCAATGTGCCTCCAGTAAGTACATGGTCTTCCTACTGATCGTCTTCCTATTGGAGAACCTTCTCTTGCCGTCTTTACTACTCTATTTATTGTCATTCAGCTTATATGATCGTTTCATTCTACTCTTCTATTTCTTACCCAGCTCTTGATGTTCTTTACCTTGCATCTACGTCATATAGCTGTACTTATAGCTTTGTCCCATGCTAATTTACTATCCATTTTTCTAATTATTTCTGCTGTTTCTAATATCCTTTTTGTCCTCTCTGCCCTAATATTCGTAGAACTCTTCTGTAAAACCAAAATTTAAAGCCAAAAAGAAGAGTCCACATTGTATACACATATTTATTATAAATGCATACAAGTATTTGTAGGTATGCCTGCTCTCAATTACAATATCAATATTAGTTGAATGTTTGCATCAGCTGATTTGGTCAATAAACTTATCTAAATTTAGTCTTGAAATTCATCCTCTGCCCGTATTCATGACAGTACTCGTTAGGGCGTTGTATTACTTTCTGTAAATTATTGTTTTTATTCCTGATTATAAGTGTATTGTCAGTAAAACATAAGTTAATTCAAAATATCTCCACTAAAGAGTAGCGGGGACAGCACGGAACCCTGCTGGACTTCTTTCTGTATTTTGAGATCTCCGGTATTTTGGTTGTCAACTCTTACCTTGACAGTTTATTTCCAATATAGTAAAGCTTAAATTTTTATATCAAGACTGTCAATACTATTTTTTTTAATATATCTACAAGATTTTTATGTTAATCCTTACCAAATTTTAAGGGTCTAAAAAACTAAAGTACGTATCCTGTTTCATGTCCATGCATATCTATAAGAGCATATTAAAAAAAAGCAAGTTTTGTGGCCATCTATTTCAGAATCCAAATTGCATGTCACCAATTTCATTTTACACAATATTAACAATTCTGCTGAGTATTATTTTCAACACTGTTGTCAGAGTGTGACTGGTTAAAGCTCTTGTTCTGTGATCGGAGCAGATTCAGTATATCTGTATACCCATGACGGCCAATACCGCAACTGAAACAAGATAACTTTCGCTCTTATTCGTTACGACTCACTTATTCACCTTAACTAATTTTCAAAAGGTCCTAGTAAAAACTAGGTTATGATACACTTAATTACATTATCGTGTCCGGACATGTCATACTGTAGCGACCCCCGTTCTTATCTTATTCAAAGTTTCCACGTTTTAAAGTCTAGGGTCTGGCCGGTCCATTGAACTTGGAGAAACGGAAAATACTCAGGCGGTTTATCCTGCACTGTTCCAAGGAAGCTTTTCCTAGATTTTAGTCGCTTTCGAGGTGTTCGAGCTTTATATAAGGTATGCCGATCGTCGCGATCTATTTAATTTTCTCTATGTGTTCTGCAGCGCCTCTGCGTGTTGAGGGGTCTGCAAAACCCGCTGCTCTATATAAATTTGAAAATGGCGTTGGTTTCATGCACCCCGTTACTATCCTACATGTCTCATTTAGCGCAGTATCAACTTGTTTGGTGTGGGCAGATCTGTTCCAAACGGGGCACGCATATTCAGCAGTTGAGAAACACAGTGCCTGTGCCGTTGTTCTTAAAACGCTAGGACGTGCGCCCCATATACTTCCCATTAGCTTTCTGAGTATGCTGTTCCTAGTTGTTAATTCCCTCTCGTGTTTAGGCAATGTTGTCTGCAGGTGAGGGACCGGTCCAGAGTTACTCCAAGATATATATGTTGGTTTATGTGTTCTAATGTAATACCATTCCACACAATTTGGAGTTTTCGCTTGGATTCCTTTGTGCGAAGGTGGAAAGCGCAGACTTGGGTTTTAGAGGGATTGGATCTCAGAGAATTCTGCAGGTAGTACGCTGTCATTGTTTTTAAGGCAGTTTCCAGTTTCTTCTCCACTTCTTCAAAACTATTTCCTTGAGCACATATTGCAATATCGTCAGCATAGAGGAAGTGCTTGGTTTCGGGTGGAGTAGGTTGGTCGTTTGTGTATAGATTGAAGAGCATTGGTGCTAAAACACTTCCATGTAGGAGGTCGTTTTTTTTAAACTCTCCACCTACTTACTTTACCCTCCAGCATAACGAAAAAACGTCTATTTTGCAGTAAGGAATATACGACCTTTCCCAGATGGTGGTCACGAGAGTGTCGTATAATTTGCCGAGCAATGTTTTGTGCCTTACTGTGTCATACGTTGCTGTCAGATCTACAAAAGCAGCCCCTGTCATAAGTTTTTTTTCAAACCCCTTTTCAATGTGTTCTGATAATGCGAGTACTTGACGGGTGCAAGATTTGCCAGGTCTGAATTCTTCTTGTTGCGGGATGAGGTGCTTGTCGACATTTTTTCTATTCTGGCGAGTATCAATCTCTCGTATAGTTTAAGAAAGTGACAAATAGTGACATATGATACACTAATCTGTTGTTGTAATTTTGTTCTTCTAGATCTTCATATAGCCGTTAATCCTATTCTACATAATATACCCAAAAAAGAATATGACGAGTATATAGAGGATTACATAAAAGAAAAAGAAAATACTCCAAATTTTGTCATTAATTACAAAGATGGAAAGCGAATAATTGCAGTTGACTATAATATGTTGGTCTTTCATGGAACCAAAACCATTTAGTCCAAATTTAAATTGAAAATGGCAGACTTTTATTAAAAATGTAATATTATTATTAATAATAAAAATATTTACTATACTTTTATTTATTTTATCACCACCTACCCCCTTTTAAACAGTTTAATTTTTTTCCCATTCCCAGTACATTTACAATCTCTAATATAATTACAATAAGTAAAGTGTCTGACAATATTTGACAATACAAATATTATTAAAGCAAAAATGTTTTACACAAAATTGCCCATTGACAATTTCCTGTGTATTCTTGGCACTGGAAACTATAATAGTGTCACGTATGTCTTAGGATTTGGTTGAGGATTCTGCTTTTAAATTCTATTGGGCATCTGCGACTAGTTTATAGGGTTACTGGTGGGATGGGGTCTTTCGTTTGAGCCTTTGTCCGATTGATTGTCATTAAATTTTGGGCTAGATTATTGGGGTAGCCACCTTGTGAGCTTGCGATCTAAATACATTTTCAAGTATTTTATCATCTTTCTGTGGCAGAAAGTACGCAGAACCAATAAAACTAAACCCTCAAAAACTTGAAAACTCATCGCTTTTGCTACTATACATACCCGAAGTTCACTACCAATTCTTTTTGGAAATTGGTGCAAAAAATTTACTTATTCAAGAGGCTAGGCAACAAACAATGGCAGTAAAAGATATAGATGAAGAATACTTGCCAAGTGAAAGTTGTACCTTTTAGAGAAATACCTTTCTCTTTAGGCATGTGGGCAGCTCACTTTTAAAAGTTTCTCTCAGTTTTTCCAAATATTTTCCAAATGCTGCCCACCCAAGGCCGATTCTTCTCTTCAGTTCATGAGTCTGGTTATCCCTGCCAATCATAATTTCATGTCCCAGGTATTTATATCTATCTACGAGTTCTATTTCTTTCCCACCAATACCACCAGTACCAAATTGGTCATGATCTTTGTTTTCGATATATTTATATTTAAACCTACATTTTCTGTAGCCACAACGAGTTCCTGTACCATCTCTCTTGCCATACCTAGATCTTCAGCTATTATAAGTAGGTATATCATCGGCGAAACGTAAGTTATATTAGATATTCTCCATCTATTTTTATTCCCTTTGTCATCCAATCCAAATTCTTAAAAGCATGTTCTGGCACCGTATTAAAAAGTTGAGGTGACATGGGTCTCCTTGTCTAACTCTCCGTTTTATTTTTATGCGATTTCTGTTAGTGGTGTATTCTGACAGTGGTTGTTGCCTGCAGGTATATTTTGTATAATAATTTAGTATATCTATAATCTAGCCTGCATTCTTTAAGCGCCTGTAATATTTTGCTTAGCTCAACTGTGTCAAAGGCTTGGTGAAAATCGATAAATATTAGAACTAGAGGTTCTAATCCTGCCTGTTCCCTTGGTTGATAAGTCTCTAATTTTCTTTCCATTCTCTTAACTAGTATTCACGTAAACAACTTATACATATGGCTGAGGAGGCTAATCGATCTGTAATTCTCTAAATTTGCTTTGTCTTCTGCTTTGTGTAATAGAATCATAGTAGCATTGTTCCAGTCTGTTGGAATATTGGCGCTGTGAAAGCAGATATTGAAAAGTTGTTTGATTGATGATTTTTTTTAATTTCTTTTTATTGGTAAGATACTCAATGGCCAGTTTTATCTTTTGTACCTCAAATCAAATAAATTGCACTTAAATTGGATTTTGTGGATTTAAAATGATTTTTAAACATTAATTTTCTCTAAAGTAATTGTATGTGGCATACATCCTTTTCACGCCAAGGTCTTCAATTGGGGAGAGAAAGCAAGGGATCGAAACAAATTAAGGGAAATAACCAAGTTTTTACCGTGTCGTAAAATTTATTGCACGTACCTCGTATTATTAGGTATTAAAAAAAGTTTTTTTAACTTCTGGTAATGAGGTGCTTTATTAATGTTATCTTACATAAACATTTTTTAATACCTTTTTTGTGTTTTTATAGTTCATGAAAAAATATTTTAAAACATAGTTATGGCTAATAAAACACCTATTCATTGCGATCTAAAACTAACATATTACTCCTTTTCATAAAAGGCGTAGTATTAAATTGTTTTTGCGTCTACAAACTTAACCCCCTCATTTTAAGAAATCTTTTTTCTTAGAAAAATTATTTTATTGCAAAATATTAAAAATTAACATTAGAAAATAGTATCATCATCGATCAGCCAATAAAGTCCACTGCTGGACATGGGCCTATCTCAGTTCTTTCCAGTGTTCTCTACACTGGGCCGCTCGTAGACAGTTTCCCGCTGCACGATTTATATCATCGGTCCATCTAGTCGGTGGTCATCCTCGGCTTCTTTTATAGTTTCTGGGACCCCATTCCATAATACGTCTTGTCCACCGTCCATCTTGTGTTCTGGCTAAGCGCTCTGTCCAGTTCCACTTAAGCGTCGTGGTTCTTTCGATGGTTTCTTGAACTCCTGATCTTTGCCTGATTTGTTGGTTTGTTATGTGGTCTCAAAGGCTCACGTTCAGCATTGCACGTTCCATGGCTCGTTGTGTAACTTTGATTTTATTCGCAGATTTTTGAGTGTTAAAGTCTCTGCTCCATAAGTTTGTACAGGCAAAACACATTGGTTATAAACCTTTCGCTTGAGACTCATGGGAATTGAACTTTTTTGAATATGGCTTAATTTTGCCAAATGCTGCCCATGTCAGGCCTATTCGCCTCTGTATTTCATGCGTTTGATTGTCTCTGCTTATTTTGATCTCGTGTTTCCAGATATTTGTAAGTGTCTGTTACTTTTTTAAATTTTTATTTTTTAGTTTAAAAATATTTTTTCTAAAACTATTGCAATCCTTCTGATTGTTTCATTTTTAGCCACCACTGCAACATAAAATTTTTGTAAAAGCATTTATTAGTTTTAGCATTTATTACTGTAAACTTTATATAATAAAACAAAAGAATAATAAGGAATTTAAAAAAAAATTAAGTACTTCTGATAAAAACGTTGCAAAATACTTGCTTAAAAACATGAAATAAAAGTTATACAAATAAAAAAATACAGTTTTTTTTCCGTCTTTACTATAAATAAGCTTACCCAAAATCATTTGAAATTATTTGACTCGGTCAGTTGAAATAATGGCGTTTGTGTTTCCTAAACTATGGGCGGAAAATTGTACATTTTTATTGCGAGCCACTCAAGCTCATCTAAAAAAGTACGGACCTCTGATCAACTGGAAAGAAAATGCGTCCATAATGGAATGTGGATTCGGCACTGGACACAGTTCGCAGCAAACGCTGGGCGTTATTCTTCCAAAGGATTACAAGGAATTTGTCGCGACTGACGTATCGCCGGATATGGTGGAATATGCCAAAAAGAACGTAAATATACCCAGGGCAAAGTTTTTACAGTTCGACGTTGGTGCAAAGCATGTGCCTGTAGACTTTGAAGAGAGATTTGATCACATTTTTGGAATTTCTCTAATGCATCTTGTTAGTAGTCCAAGGTAAATAATTGTTTGATAAAGTTCAGTTGACTATTATTTTCTTTACTATATCTTTTATATGTAATTTCTTTTTAAGTAATATTTGCAGCTATGTATTAGGCTTATTTCAATTTCTCACAGCTTATAATCCTTTTTTATAGGTGGTGTTTTTAGGCAACCTATTTTTCCTCTTCTTTTATTGTATAAATATTACAGTTCACCTTAATGCAATTAACAGTACTTGCATGATAGAATTTTATAGAATATATTTATACAAGATAGAAATTCATTAAAATTCTGTAGTCAAAATTATTTAAATATCAGTCAAGTACTGTTTGCAAGCTATTTGAGATGCAGTATCATCATCATTAACTAGCTCTAACGTCCACTGCTGAACATAGGCCTCTCGCATGCTTTTCCACTTAGTCCGATTTTGCGCCATCTGAATCCAATTTGTTGTCACTCTTTTTATGTCATCTGTCCATCTCGTTGGGGGTCGACCTCTAATTTCTGTAAGCTTGTATTCGGGGTCTCCACTCCAAAATTCTTTTTGTCCACCGGTCATCAACCGGTGCTACATGACCTGCCCAGTTCCACTTTAGTGTTGTTATCCTTTCAATAACGTCTGCTACTCCTGATCTTTTGCGTATAGTAGCATTGGGTATTCTATCACGTAGAGAAATCCCTAACATAATTCTCTCCATTGCTCTTTCCGCAACTTGTAGTTTACTCACTGTTGTTTTTGTGAGCGTTAGGGTTTCTGCGCCGTAGGTCATCACTGGCAAAATACATTGATTAAATACTTTTCTTTTCAGACATATTGGAATCTTAGACCTAAAACCTAGGTCTAAGAGATGCAGTATACACGTCTTTAAATGGTATATTTGAGACAGTCAATTAAGAAATGATCTATACTGTCTCTTTTTTTTCTCCAATGGCGTTACAGCCCAAATCAAACACTGGGTCTCCTCCAAATTATGCCTTCAACCTTGCTGGTCTCGCTCCAGGTTCTCTTCTTCTTGTGGTGCCTATCTGTTACGGAAGTTGGCTACTAGCATCGCAATTCTAACTTTATTGACCGCAGCTCGAAATAGTCCTGAAGTGGTTCAAGAAAACTATTTTCGTAAGTTCTGAAGCCAAGATATTCTTCTTCTTCCTTGTTCTCTCTTTCCGTAGACCTTTCCCTGTAATATAAGTTGCATCCAGGAGATCCTCAGTATCCGTCTTTAACACCACATCTCAACGCCTCGAGTTTTTCCAGGAAAACATCGGTTAGTGTCCATGATTCAACCCCATAGAGCAGCACTGTTAACACATAGTATCCCAATAAATAGATTTTTGTTTTTAAGGGTACGTCGTGGCTCTTGAATATCTTGCTCATTCTGACAAACGCTGACCTGGCTTTTTTAATTTCTTTGTTTTATCTCAACTGAGTGGTCCCATTGGTCGTTTATGGTGGTTTCTAAAAAGTAGTAACGGAGCACTTGGAGTATTTGTTGCTGATCTATCAGTAATTGACTAGGTGGAATATGTTTCTTACTGATGACCATGTACTTTGTTTCCTTGATGTTCAAAATCAAGCCCGTAGTCTTGACTGATTCTCCACCTGATGTTATTCAGGCGCTCACCATTAATGAGAATACCCTCTTCCATATTCTCTAAGGCCTGGCTCATGATGTGTTCCGAATAGACGTTAAATAATAGGTAAGAGAGTATGCAGCCCCTGTCGTACTCCTCTCTTTATTGCATCTTCCTCTGTTAGTTGGTCTTTCACCCGAATAGTTGCTGATTGGTTGTAGTATATGTTCTTGATTATCCGATCCATAAGCTTATCGTGCTTGATTCTGTCGAAAGCTTTCTGGTAGTCGATAAAGCATACATAAATATCGCGGTTGACGTCTCTACACCTTTGAAATAATACCTGAACCGCTAACAAGGCTTCTCTTGTACCTAACGCATCCCTGAATCCAAACTGCGTTCGTGAGTTCTGTGACTCGCATTTCTGATAAATTCTTCTGTGTATTATCTTTAAGAAAGTGTTAAGAATGTAGCTCATTAGACTGATAATACGATGCTCTTCGCATTTTTTGGATTTTTTAGGTATAGCAATAAATGTAGATTTTAACCAGCTCTCTGGGATTTTTCCCCAGTCATAGATTTTATTGAACGTTGTCGTAAGCCATTTTACTCCTTCGCCTCCCATGATTTTAGAAACTCTGAATGAAAGTTGTCGGGCCCTGGTGCTATACCTGCTTTGGTTGCTTTAATTGTGGCTTTAACTTCGTCTTGAGTGATTGGTGGTCCTTTATTGTATTCCATAATTATCTTGTTATCTCTGTCGTCATCGAATGTCTTCTCAACGTATCTCTTCCATATATTTTTTGTTTGTTCATATGTCATATGTCCTGATCTCTTGAGTTTGTACATTCCTGCTGTCTCTTTTACCTTCTTGTGGAGATTAAACGAGTCGTGTCTACTTTTCAATGATTGTATTTCTATGTTTCTGTTCCGTTTAAAATTCATTTATATTTCCACATGTCTCTGACTTTATCTCTTCTTCTATTCTCTATCATATTTAGGATTTTATCAGTAATCCACTCTTTCTTTTTAACCGTTGTTGGGCGAACATATTTATCTAGGATTGTCTGGTTAATTTGTTGTTGTTTTGCCATTTCGTTATCTGGCTCATTAGCTTTTTCTGTATTTCTCGTATCCAGATTCTTACGTCTTACAAATTTTTGGAACAAATAATATCATTATTCGTATTTGAGGCGTTATGGTAAAACTCAAGATTTTCTAAATTTTTTCACTCTTCTCCAAAATTATTTGTTAGGAGTTTATTATTTATGAAGAGTATTAGGATTACCAAAAGAATAAAAATTATCTATTATATCAACTATCCACAAAAAGGGCAGCAAAGATCAGTGTAAAAATTACAGGGGAATTGCTGTAAACAGCACAATAAGTAGAATGTATGGGAAACTTATTAAGAACAAAAATGAAAATGAACTTTGATGGTACACAAGGCAAATATCGAACACAGTAATTAATCAAATCTTGCCCAAGTACTTTCGATCACAAGATCATCCTCAGGGCATTTCGTCAGTTGTGGCCTATCCAGCAGTAACAGAATGTCATAAATGTAAATTGGGACATAACAAATACACTAAACAAAGACAAACAAACACTTTAAAATTTAAAAATTGGAGAAGCTACATTTTATATAGAAGCCGGAGACAGAATTCTGTCATCAATTCTCAATTCATCAAGTCATCAATTCTGTCAATCATTCTTTGACATTTGCCTTGTGTACCATCAAAGTTCATTTATTCGAACATTCAACCTTATATTGACTTATTGAAAATAGAAAATGACTATAGAGATTAAGAAGCAGAGGAGCAGGCTGGTTTTAGAGCTGGGCGATCCACAGTAGACCACCTGTACTCTATTACGCAAGTTATTGAGAAAAAAACAGCCGTCAATAAAGAAGTTCACCTGGTGTACGTAGAATTATAAAAAGCATATGACAGTGTACCCCTCAGTAAACTATGGTCAACCCTACAGCAAACCAACATTAAGCATGGTCTTATCTTATTAAAGCAGTCCAAAGTCTGTATAATGGAACGACTGCAAAAGTTAAAACTGGATTAAAGATATTTGAGGGATTTAAGATCACGAAAGAACTAAATCAGGGTTGCTATATTTTGCCTACCCTTTTCAAAATTTATCTGGAATAAGCACTCAAGCTGTGGAAAAAAAAATGCAATGGCATGGGAATCAATCTCAATGACGAGACTGCACTGTACGCCTTATGCTTCGCTGATGACCAAATACTGATTGCTCAGGATCATGACGACTTCAGTTACATGACTCGGAAGCTAATAGATGAATACAACAAATGGGGTCTAGAAGTCAATATTAAAAAAACTGAAGCCATGTGTATTGGGGGGAAAAAGTAGTCCATTATGTTAGACGATGGGGTAGAAATTAGACAATGTGATGAATACAAGTACCTGGGTATGAAGATAACTCAAGATGGAACACTCGATGATGTTATAAAAGACAGAAACATACAGGGTAGATAAGCCATATCCATGATGAACTGCATTCTGTGGGATCAAACAATATCTAAAGCGAACAAACAACTCATATATAACACTATACTTAAAAGTGTAATCACATATGGCACTGAAGTTTGGCCAATGAAACAAAGAACAGAGAAACTGTTACTAGCAACAGAAATTGACTTCTGGTGAAGAGCAACAGGCAAATCAAGAAGAGATTCGATACCAAATGAGAGAATACGGGAAATGATGGGAGTCAAGCATACAATAGTTGATGACATAAAAACAAAACAGTTAATATGGTACGGCCATGTACAGAGAATGCCAGATGACAGGATTCCGAAACAGATTTTGACGTGGACACCACAAGGAAGAAGAAAAAGAGGAAAGCCGAGAAGAAGCTGAAGAGGGGGAATTGAAAAAGAACTAGAAGAAAGAGAAATCCCTCCAGGCCTATGGCTAAATAGATAAGAATGGCGGTTAGGACTCGGAAGGCGTCGAAGAAAGCTTTAAACTGATAGTAGTAATAGTATTAAGATTAATCATCCTGATATCTTTTCTAGCCTTACAAACACGTTTTTTATCTAATATCGCTTCGTTAGTGCGGGTCACTCCATACCAAAACGTTTAATCTGTTTTTAGTCTTGGTTAAAATAATACGTTTAATAATATTAAAATCTTAAAGTACCAAGAAGCAGTGCTTTTTTTAACACCCTATAGGCGTTTTCTTTCAAATTATCAACTTTAAAATCCTTTCCCATACGAATTACTGTGCCAATTTGACTAAATACCTCATTGTATTGTTCTGGCCTGGTAATCACTTCTATTTTCTTTAACACTTGTTCGATTCTGCCAATGAACTTGTTCTGCGATCGCTAGAAAAAAATGAGTAGTGTCACACTACTGTTAAACTACTTTTAGTTTTACATGAATGCTCTAAATCTGTTCACATTTTATTTTAATTTACTTTACATGCAATTTTAGACAAGGTTTTGAAAATATCAAGAAAATGTTAAAACCTGGCGGATCGGTTTTTCTCACGTTTTTCAAACATACACCAGTTGACTATTCATTTCACAAAATGAGACACCATCCGAAATTTAGAAAATATAACCAAGAACGAATGGTTTCTACTTACTACTACACGGAAAGTCCAAGGGAAGAGTACAGAAAGGATATAGATGCAGCAGGATTCAAGGATTATATTTATACTGTCGAGAAAGAGTCGTATGTATTTCCGAATATTAAAGAAAGTGAAGGTAAGTTTTTTACAAAAATATGTTTTTCAAAAAAGGTCTTTTTGTAACAAAAGTTTTTGAAGTTGTTTATTGCTGGCTCAGTAAAAACTTACTTAGAAAAAAGAAACAAGAATTGCTTAAAAGTTTCGAGCAAAAAAGTTTAAATATATTTTTAATTTTATTAAAACTTTTAATCCTTTATAATATAAATATAATTATTATTTTCAGATATAAATCTTGCTGCAAATTTGACAATTCAAGATATACCTGAGGAAGAATTGGAGGAATATAAAAAATTGTTTCTGGAACAAAGAAAAGGAGATCCAATGTATCGTTTTGAGCGTATTGATGGGAAGAAAACGATTACTTTAAGTCATGAAATGAATATTTTTATGGCAACAAAAGAATAATAACGGAATAAACTAACAATTTTTAAAAATGTTTATCATTATCGTAATCCTTATCATGATTGTTTATTACACAGTCCTCTATGACACCTTAATTCATTTCCACACCTCATCACCACCCCGTGAATATAACATTGAAAAAAATGCTATTTTCGTCAACAGGGTGTTTTAAAAGTCCATCATCGAGAGAAGTCCCACGTAGAGTGATCCAGGCCAATGAAGGGCGTGTCATTAAACCCTCCATCTATTATTTTTATTAATCCATTTTCATATTTTATTTCCATGTCCATTTATCTTCTATTTACTTTTATTTTTTTTTTAATTTCCATTTTATATATCTATTTGTTTTCTATAAGTTACCTTCTACTTCATGTGCCGTGCTCGATTATCGAGCGTTGGCTATCAAATTGGCTATAGTTATTTTGTTGACGGCAGCTCGAAAAAGAGATGCAGAGGATCTGTTAAACCAATCTCTCAGGTTCTAAGCCATGACTTTCTTTTTCGACCTGGTTCTCTTCTTCCGTCTACCTTGCCTTGTATTATTAAATGGAGTATATTATATCCTCTGAGTAGCGCCTAACATGGTTAAAATATTCAAGTTTGCGATTTTTAACTGTTTTGACGACTTCCGTAAGTTTTCCCATCCGATGCAAAAGAACTTCGTTACGCACTCTATCCACCCAACTTATTCGTAGGATTCTCCGATACACCCAGATTTCGAATGCTTCCAGTTGATTGAGAAGTGTATCCATCAAAGTCCCAACCTTCGACACCATACAAAAGAGTAGAGAACACATAACATCTCACTAATTTAATTTTCAGATTTAAAGTAATATTGTAACAGTTTCTTCATCTTAAAGAATGCAGTTCTGGCCTTCTCTATCCGTATTCTAATTTCTTTGCTCATGTCCCAGTTCTCATTTAAATTACAACCAAGGTAAGTGATACTGTTAGTTCTCTCCAGTTGTTCACCATAAGCTGTTACCACTTCCGGTTGTATCGGCGTGTTACTGACAACCATCACCTTTGTCTTTGCGCTGTTTAGCTTAAGGTCATATTCAATCACACGTTGTGATGAATATGGTCTTAAGCTAAACACCGCAAAGACAAAGGTGATGGTCGTCAGTAAAACGCCAAGTTACCTAGTTGTTATTATTACATTCTTTCCAAGTTATATTCGATGTAAAAAGTTAAAATATACATTCAATCCTTGCCGAAACACTTATAAAGACCAAACATATTGTACAGAAACCATTCTGGGAAGATGACAAGAAAATCCAGTAGAAGTAATTAAAGCCAAGTTAAAAAAAAGGCGAGTCAGTGGCAACATATAAAAAACGGCGTTGGCAAATGGGTCGATAAACGAGAAGTAATGTATATATCCATTGCAATGGATTCAGTAAGTATAGCAATGATATGGTAGAATGTGAGAACAAACAAAAACAAAAAAACTAAAACCTCTTTCAATCGCCGAATATAATAAACCTCTGAATGGTGTTTTTAGTGTATGTTTTGTTTACTTTACAAATAAAATATTTCAAAAATAAGACGCGAATCCCCGTCCGTTAGCATTTGGTGTGAAAATTTAAAGTGTGATGCTAAACGGCGCGGATCCTCGTCCTTTTGACATTTTCTCCCAAAATGTGGCATATAATATCTAAAACATATAAAACATCATATAAAATACCAACAACCAACTCTTATCACTGTTTGTGAAACAAAGTTCCTAGCATTTGGCATGTTCCTATCAGATCACGTACGCAGTGAACCTGTAGGTCTACAATGCATAATTATTATATTTTAGATTTCTCTGCTATTTAAAAAGTGTTTGAAGGATATTTGAGTCTTCTTACAAACATCCCTCTGATGACGTGTAGACCCAGAAACACGTATAAGAGAATGGTAAGAGACTCAAATATAAATCGAAACGTAACCGTCATTTATTTGTTATTGTCCCTTACTCGACGCAATGAGTACAAACAATGATAGTAAAATATATGGGTAAATTGTTTATGCACAGTGGAATATAAATATTCTCAGCATTGCTCTGAATGGCTTGATTAAGCTTGATTAAGCTCAGCACCTTAAGAAGAAGATATAGTTTACTTTAATTGCTATCGATATTTAACTTCATATTTCCTCACTAGAGTCTGTAGTAGCATACTGTTAGTCATTATTTTCCTATAATTGTCTTAGTAGTCGGTACGTTTTGGTTTGGCTTGAGTCTTCTTACAAACTCTCTTTGATGACGGGTTGACCCAGAAACACGTGTAAGAGAATAATAAGAGACTCAAATTAAATCAAAACGCAACCGTCATTTATTACATTTTTTTTTTTACATTTCAGCGATAGCATATAAGATCATATTCTTTATCAACGCCAATACGAAGTTTTTCTCTGAAAAAGGCCGTTAAATAAAATAAAACCCGCTTTTCACGCTTAAACCGCCAAAACTGGATAACCCAGAATAACCCCAAGAAAATACGATAAACTTAAAAAACAACCAGACCTTTCAGCAAAAAAACACGGACATAAATTCATCACTTGAACGACACATTTTACGACTTGTTATACGACGGAATCTGTTTTATGGAATAAAGTAGACGGAAATCGGCCGCAGGCCGCTCATACTCATAATATTGTGGTATTATATATTCACGAAGGGTGGAAGAGATTGTCCTCCCTTTAGATTTTACATACGTCTCACACTGTTTTTCAGGGACGTCGATCAAGGCTTTGTTTTCTCATAAAGTTGAAATTTAAATATTTTTTTTGTATATTTAAATAAAAAAATCTCGAGTCATGTTTATCGTCTAAACATTGAATGTCAATGAAAAACTTAAGGTTTACCAAAATAAATCGTTATAAAACCACTCCTTCTACTACAGTGGTGATAAAAATCGTCCGTACATTCCAAATCCAGAAAAATCTGGAGTAAAGCCAGAGTATTGGCCCTCTTTTGCCCCCTTTTGCCCCTCTTTGCCGTCAGAGATGACAAGAACTAGAATTAATGCTGAATAAACTTCATGAAAAGTCACTGCAAAAAGGCCTAAAAATTAACTTCAACAAAACAAAAGTAATGACAAACACGGAAGACCAAGAGGCAATAAAAATAAAAACAGAAAAAATAAAACAGGTAAATGAGTATATCTATCTAGGAGAAGCAATCAGAGCTAACAGAGAAAATCAAACAGCCTAAATATCGAGACGAGTAAAAATGTGATGGGCAGCGTTTGGCAAACTTTCTTACGTTCTAAAATATCAAACAATCCCTCTATACTTACGAAGCAAGGTATATAACTCCTGTATAATACCGGTGCTCACCTACAGAGCACAGATAAGGAAGGCGCAAAGAGCGATGAAGAGACAAATGTTGGGTGTATCACTTAGAGATAGAAAACGTAACCAGTGGATCAGAACCAGAACAAAGACAGTAGACGCGATAGAACAAGCAGCAAAACTGAAATGGAAATGGGCTGGACACAATGAACGTCTCCAAGACGGACGATGGAACAATGCCATCGGAAAGTGGCGTCCATACAATGCAAAGAGATCAAGAGGCAGACCACAGATGAGGTGGAAAGATGACATCAGGAAACAAGGAGGTCCCACATGGCAGAGAACAGCTCAATAGAAAGATGAGACTGGGGACCAATCCAACAATGAGGTAGGAATAGTTAAACAAAAAAATTGGCCCTCATAAAACCAGGAAAGGATCCGGCGGATACAAAGATTTTTAGACATGTCTCTCTTTTGTGTCACCTTTTCAAGGCCTTCGAAAGAATGATCCTGAACCGGATCACAGAATCGGTGGACACTAACAAGTAGGGTTTAAACCCGGAAAATGCTGCTGCTATCAAACTCTTAATATCACAAAACGTATTGAAGATGGGTTTGAACGAAAAGAAATAACAGGAGAAGCGTTCATAGACCTCACTACCGCCTATGACACAGTTTACCATCAACGGCTGCTGGTAAAATTCTACAAAATTGCAAAGGATTTTCGAATAACAAGGTTAATGAAATGTCTTCTCTAAAATAGACGCTTCTACGTAACGCTCCCACATGGACTCCCACAGGAAAGTGTCTCGCACCACTGCTATATACACAATTTATACCAACGACCAACCCAAAAACCAACAAATAAGACATTTTGTTTACGCGGATGATACAGCTGTGGCAGCTCAGAAAAGTATCTTCAGTGAAGTCAAAGTAAAACTGACAGAAGCCCTAGAAGACTTAGCACTATACTATGACGAAAACCCTCTGAAACCAATCCTTTAAAAACCCAAGTGTGTGCTTTCTCACCTTAGAAGCAAGCATGTTCGAAGAACACTGAAAGTGGAATGACGTGGTCAGATACTGGAACACAATGAGACGCCAAAATACCTCGGCGTACATCTGGATAGAACTCTGTCTTATCGATATCACTGTAAAGATATCAAGAAAAAAGTAAGCGCCAGAAATAATAACATCTGCAAATTAACAAACACAAAATAAGGAGCACAACCACACACTCTCTTTACTTCTGCCTTAGCATTATGTTTTTCTGCCGCCTAGTTTGGAGCACCAGTGTGGGAAAACTCTGCTCACGCTAAAAACCTCGATGTTGCGTTAAATGAAACGGTTCGTATAATATCTGGTTGCCTGAAACCGACACCTACCGAAGAGGTCTACCCTATAATTGGAATCGTTTGACCTGCCATCAGAAGATAGGTCACGTCAGAGATAGAATGAAAGAAGCAGGTGACGAATCGAAAACAGCCCTTGTATGACCACCAAGTTCAGCCAAGTATATTAAGATCTTGGAAAAGTTTCTGAAAAAATCACGATTCCTTCCCGAAGAGCCAAAGACGCGCCGAATAACCTATGGCAAGCGTAAGCTACAACATATTTGCTCTTCAGAGAATGACCGCTGGATACAATTTGCCGTATCCCATGTGAAAGCGCTAAGCAGACTAGCAACTGGCGTTTCACATTGTGCTAGTAACCTGAAGAAATGG